TCAAATGGTATATATATACTGGGTGTATAAAAAATAATTTTACAAAATTTGGGGGCATCTTCTGTGCAACCAAACAAGGAAAAAATCCATATAAACATAAGTCTGCAAATCTTTTTTTTGAGTTATTAAGTTTAATGTGAGTTTTCGGTAGATGGGGCTGTGTTGCCATGTTGACTAGGTTACATTTGTTATTCGCGTACATTTGTGGATAGTCTGTCTTCTTCATTTAACGTGGATAGTAGTGAGTTAAGTGAGAAGTGTCCGGTTTAACAATGGCAGAATATTCATAACGCGACATGATTTTTTGCATACGGCCACGCGGATGGTAATGGACGCGAGGCTGCACGGTTGTATAAGATTGCCTTTCCAGACCGAAAGTAGCCGAGTCATCCAACGCTTGCTGCTGTTTATCATCGCGTTGCTGAGACAGGATATGTAGCACCATGAACTATGGTAATGTGTATTTTCAATTGCATTTTGTATTTACATTTTACAGAGTCTAAAGTAAACTTTAAAATTGTTAACTTAAAAACGAATCATTTACGAACATACGTTTATGTGAACTTTTGTCATTGTTTAGATGTGAGGAACCCACCCCCAAAATTTGTAAAAACCTTTTTGATTACACACACACACACACACACACACACACACACACACACACACACACATATATATATATATATATATATATATATATATATATATATATATATATATATATATATATATATATATATATATATATATATATATATATATATATATATATATATATATATATATACATATATATATATATATATATATATATATATATATACATACATATACACATATATATATATATATATATATATATATATATATATATATATATATATATATATAATGCTTTTATCAATTTTTAGGTATTTTAACATGTGGATGACTCCATTATATTTCTATTATCAACGAGTCAGTTGCGGATAGAGTTTGGTAGGTCTCCATCTTTATTTAAAACTACTGATCTCATTGTCAAAAATTATAACTCACCGGCAAGATCCCAATTACAGAGAACCAATATTATTTGCGAATTGCCAAGACCATTCTGTAGAAGCACATTTCTGTTACCTCCAGTTTTCTCTTCGTCTGTGTGGTGATAACCAAATTCGTAAATCATTATATTGGATATACTACAACATGCCTAACAAAAGGACTCACGTTACATCTCTCTGGTCATAGCTCAATTAGGTCATTTAGATAAACATGGAGACATACCAAACTGTATACGCACCATACGCGTTGATAATAAAAATATAATGGCCTCATTCACGCACACATACACACAGACGCACAAACACACACATATGTGTGTGTGTGTGTATAAGTGTTTGTATGTAACAATTTAGTTTCCCAAGGAAACAAATTCAGACATTGATCTATAGACAGTCAAATGAAAAATGGATCGATTTGTGTCAAATTCTTCTCTCATATTTCATTCATCCATATTGGTTTTCCTTGATTTTTCATACTGATAGCTTAACATTACTGTGTTTAATAGCATATAGACAAGCTTTTACCAACTTAGAAGCCCCCCTCCACCAAGTATGTTCCTGTTCATATATACAAAGATGCGATAATTTGATCGGCAAATGTTTAGCTAGACACTGTATCTACCAATTCTTGTATCTCTCCTAATAATGAAACGTTGAATATAAGTGGTAAATTTATATGCCACCATATGCGGTAAGTGACGAGTTAATAACCTAATGTTTTGCAAATAAAAAACAAAAAAAACGAAAAGTTCCTAAGTGTGATGACAGTTCGGAAGCGGTTATAAATTCATTAAATGTTTCTTCAAACGCAGTAAAGATATATTTTTTAAATAACATCTTCATTCAGGTCGTAAACAATTACGGTTCTTTGTAGATTTTGTCTGTATCGGGCAAGCGCACTATGGTCATCTTCAGGTATTCAAACAGATTAAAAATATCCGTGAATTACCATTATTTCTTGGGAGAGAACCAGAAGAATGATTTCTCGTTGTGGTCTTCATAGGTTTAATTTCAGATTAAACTTACTCCTAAACTGGCTGTAAATCATTTTTAGTGACGCCAGTCTATCATGCTTTTTACCCCATAGCTAGAGGGATAACAGATTAATGCCTTTTCCAAGGACCTTATTGCGAAAATTACGCAAGAAACTACGAAAACAAAGTTAAACCATAAGTTACTAATAATCAGAACAGTTGGATATAATTCTAAAAGAAGACTTTCTCCAAAAATGTAAATACTATTTCAGTACATAAAAGTGATAAATGGAATACATATTAATTTCTGGGAGATCGTGTAATGGATATGAGCATAAGATATACGTAATATATTTTGATGCTTTCGAACTAGAGTTCGCATCTTGATTGATCTTAATGTTACTATAGATCGGACGTTTCGGCCAAGAACACTATGGCCATCTTCAGGTATGCATTATAAGTAGCTATGGGATCCATTTGGGAAAGATGCTAGAATAACATAGAAATGGAAGTACATCGCCTGCATACGGATAGAAAAATATCAGAAACGGAAAAAGAAATAAGACAGGAATATGTTTCTCTTCAGATTTGTCCAACATCTACACCGAGTTTATCCAAAGGCAACTGGAAAACCTCCCAGGATTTATTATGGGTGGGTGTAATCTTAACATTGTAAGATACGCAGATGACACTGTGTTAAAGAAAGGCATAGAAAAAAAAGCTACATAACCTCCTAGAGAAGGGGGTAAAGGAAAGTGAGAATGAAAGTTAAGCTCTCAAATGTAAGAAGACATAAAATATAGCTGTCATTATCTATGAGTTCAAATGCCCCTTAAGGAACTGTGTTCCTGATCAAACCGGACTCATAAATAATTACATCGGTTACACAACTACATGCTTATCCTAACGACTTACGTTACACCTATCTGATCACAGCTCCATTAGAACCCATTTAAACACACACACACACACACAAACTTACCAGACTCCATTAGAAACATACTAGTAGAAAAACACAAATAAGGATACACAGGGTCATCTGCTTATCTTACAACGTTAAGATTAATAAATCCTGAGAGGTTTTCCAGTTGCCTTTGGAAAGACTCGGTGTAGATGTTGGACAAATCTGAAGAGAAACATATTCCTGTCTTACTTCTTTTTCTGTTTCTGCTATTTTTCTATCCGTATGCAGGCGATGTACTTCCATTTCTATGTTATTCTATCTTTTCCAAATAGATCCCATAGCTACATATAAGGAATACCTGAGGATGACCATAGTGTACTTGGCCGAAACATCAGATCTATAGTAAAATTGACAATCAAAGGTGCTAACTCTAGTTCGAAAACGTCAAAATATATTATGCATATCCTATGGTTGTATCTACTACACACAGATTTTGCTTTCACAATTGAATACGTGAGAGATGATACTCAACTTTTGTGCAGATACATGTTTGTGTAGACATAATTACTAGAGGCGGTGATATGTATGTTAAAAATTGCAGTTTTGTTGAAATTACATCTTGGAATACAGTCTGATTTCTTTAAGAAATTGTAGGATATTACATGGACTAATATCCGGAAAGAGTTCTTTCATGTTGGTTGTTTGATTTTGTTCAAAGGCTACGAATGATGGGACACTGCAACAAGATGTTAGATGATACGGTCCTATAATTTCCTATTAAACGTCTCCTGCCAATGCTCAACAAGTTGATAAACTTGTAAGGAAATCTGAAAGGTATTCACAGTTATGCTATGGTTTGCTTTGGTTGATTTTGTTTAGCGGTATATCAACTTCAATTGGTTATTTAATGCCGAAATCTAAATATGCTGAACAGTTTTATGACTTCAATTAGAGTTAAAATATATTGTCGGTCATTTTGCTATAAAATTTATTGTTGGTAATTCTGCTATAAAATGTATTGTTGGTAAATATAAATATATATCGTTGGTATTTTTCATGATAATGTATCGCTGGTAGTTTTAATATAAAAATGTATTTTATACTTTCATAGTATTTACGAGTTCACTATTTGCCCATAGCTGGCACCCTAACAGGTGCTACTACCCCGGATCTGTCTTGACCTTGGAACAACAGCAATTAAGAGGTGGTTTCACTTTCCTCAAAATATCGAATAACTCGATCAAAAATCTTGCTGCAGGATGTTTATCGTCATGCCCAGAACTAACAAAATTAAATAATGTAACAAGTGTTAATGTCGTAAAATCAGGTTTCTAGGTTTGTCTTAATGAAAACATAAGTAAATTTATCATGTTTATCAGCAACTTTTCAGAAAGAAATATTGATAATCTGAATAGCACATTTGTTTTAAAAAATAGTGTTTCTTTTCAACTGAAGTCACTTTCTGTTTATTTATTTTATTTTGAAGCCATCGAAGCCGAATTTTTTTCAATAAATATCTTCAAAGTTTGATCTAGAAAATATATAATAGATTTGATCGAGCTCGGAATAAATGGATTGCCTATCAATTTTTTATTACGTTTTTTTTTTCAGTTCTGATGTGATGTCGATTTGTGTTGAATATAAATAGAACAAAATCTAAGAAGCCAGGCTAACATGTCTTTTCTGAAAGGTGAAATTTTCGCTGGTGGCCCAGAATTTTTACATATCTTATTATCAACATCAGTATGCTTAAGATGCTTGCTCATCCATCATACAGCATTAACTAATAGGCGGTAACTTGTTTTCTGGCTCTTAAAATCTACCAAGAAAAGCATACTGCTAACCCCTCTCGATTTGGGGGTAAAATCAACAAAAGTAATTCATTTACTAATGTGTTCAAAAGCTTTGCACGCCAGTGTATTTTTAGGCCCCGCATTCTTCAATGTAAAAATAAAACAGTACAACTTATTACTAGCTTGAGCATTCCTTAGCTGCATTTGATTCATTTAAATAATGGGAAATTCTAAGAGAAATCAAATCTACTTATAATAACACCTTTTTTTCTTTTCTAAATCACACCCGGGCTTACGTCCATATCACGTTGAAACGCTGGTTCACGTATGATCACCGAAGTTAAGCAACCTCAAACCTAGTCAGTACCTAGATGGCTTACTGCTTGGGAATACCTGTTGCTGTAAGCCTGAATATGCGGGAGATATCAGGGATAATGGCTCGGAATCGGGAATCGGAAAGCTGAGTTTCAATTCCAGTCGAGTCGCAGATACTCTTCGGAAAGGTATAAATGTATTTCTTCTCCTTAAGTTAGGGGTTAATTAGTAGGACATTTATCAGTAAGTCATTATTATTTTTAAAACATTTTTTACAGTCTAATAACATTTTCTGGTTTTAAATAACCGGAAATGGTTCATAAACCATAAAAAAAAAACAAATCCAAATCTATCAGCCAATCAATAAATCAATCACACCCACTATTGATGTCTCGCATTAATCGAAAGTTTGGATTGTATAAACTGTTTGGACCAATGTCTACACACAAGAAACACGTTTGCGCGAGGATATTTGAACATTAGAAAATGTGAATAAATCTAATAGACACACAATTCACAATATCAGTTTTAAAACAATTGCTTTTCAAATATACCGAATAATCATATATATGAGTGGTCATTGGGGTCAACACCAAATGGCCATTGTCTTTTTTTATACTTGAACGTTGCCACAACTTTACACAGTTAGTATAAAAAAATGCGTAAGGAGCCAATGTACATGTTTACAAATTCTCTACTGTCTTGCTCTTTTGGAATGCACAAAGATGGCGAAGGCAATCAAGAAATGATTGACTAGCTCTTCTGAAAACAAGCTTCCCTGTAGAAATTGTTCGTATTGCGTAACCATCCATATCTCCATGGCCACGTATTAGGCTTCGTATCTTACGAGCAAAGCGTCCAGGGATATCTCCTCTCAGGAATACCAGTGTTTGGCTTATCTGCAGTATTTGGTTGACAGACAAAAGGACATCTGGGTCTCTTATCCAAGCTAAGGATCATCCTTTTCGTGTTGTTTAAACAAACTTGATGTATAAACAGACCATTTCAATGAATAATCAATATGTCGAACCACTTGTCCGGTATTTTTACATTCTATCTCTGAAACATTGATCTGTTCGAAGCTAAACATTTACCATATTTTCTTATGTCACTTCTTCTAACTATAGCAATATTTTCTATCTTGATTGCATTTTACGCACCCATACTTATCCCTTCATCTTTTTAATAAATGCATTAGATAGATCAAAAACTATACATATTACTGTTATTCTCAGATATTTATTTATAAATCTTAGACGTCCACTGATAAGTAGATTGAAATGCTGTATAATTTTCAACAGAAAGTTTATGTCTGTTCGCTTTGATTTATCCAGTGTAAGTGAAACTGTGAAAACACGTAAAGGTTCACGGTTAATGATAGAATTAGACACAATGTTATGAGTGAACTTTTGAACAGTAGCTGGCCATCAACATTGAACGGGGATTCAAGATGATCTACTGCAATTGGTACATTTTAAGGTACGTTAAGATTTCTCCAGACCAAAATAAACATATTCTATTCCAAATACAGTCTTTGTTGGCACAGCCTTTAACGTTTTCTGGAGTGTACAAGCTGTTAATGGAAATTCTGGATGATTATGTCGTCTCTGTATTTTAAGTAGAGCATAATTTGCATTTTGTTGAATTTCTTACTCCGTTCTTCAAGCACGGAGATCATTTCCTAAACTTTCTTCAGTTTTTCCTTTCTTCTGTAGATCAGATGATATCGTAATAGGCTGGTCAATTTCATCCTATATTTCAACATCACTGCATCGACTCCATTACTACCGGCAGAAGAGCTGGTATCATTCAGAAAAGAATTGATTTAAATATCAACATAACTGGAGCTAAAAACAGATATTTTCAAATGCAACTAACTCATGTGGTGGATTGAATCGGAATCATTTTTTACAGCGGGATGTTTGTTGTTTTGTTTGATCACGTTTATTTGCTATTCAGTAACATTTGTATTTCTAATGTCATCGTTTTTTGTCCTCAAGTCTTCCATGGTGTATCATGCTGAAACTTCAAGAATGAAAGAAATTTTCCCCAATTCCCTCTCTATTTCTTTTCCATATTTAAAACAAAATCATGCTTTAACGAATACTTTTTAATTATTTATTAATTTCACGTTTTAGAAAAAAAAATAAATGAAATATTTCAAACAAAAGCAGTTAATAAAATATTTTAGATAATATTCGTTTTACTCTAGTTTCCAAGAATAAATTTATTTTCTAAAGTTAGACAATTACAATAGAATATATATACCCACAAAAATACTTAAATAAAAAAGGACCTTCTTTTTAAAAGTAGAGAATATCATTAAAAAATCTACTAAGCCGGGTTCTATTAATATATTTGCTATTAATTTAGAAATGGGAACAGTTAATGCAAACAAATACCGTAATTCCCCATTTTTTTTTTAAAAAAATAAGCAAAATCAGGGACGCATATTATGCACAGTTACAAAAAAAAAATCTTTAAAAAATTGCCGAAGAATTAATAAGAATTATCATGAAACTAAATTAAAACAACATTTTTCTATGTTTAAAATCATTTTTCTTAAAATAAGAGAAGAAAACGCTGGCCATAATGAAGTTGGAGAGGTACAATTTATAGAGTGTGATTACCAAATAAGGGTGCATATTATGCATGAGTAGAAACATTTTTCCACACTTTCATCACAATTTTAGGTGTGCGTACTATAGATTATAAAGGAAAATTAAGATAATTGATGAAAATAATCCTTCCTCAAGGGATTTTTGCCTGGGAAACTTTTGGCAGCATTATTTATGCTTCCAAAATGTTAAAAGAAATAACTGCATTGGTCCTTGAAAACGAAATATAATATAATATATAAATTATACATACATACATATATATATATATATATATATATATATATATATATATATATATATATATATATGAGAGTTAAAATTAAAAAAGTGCAGGCACCCCTCGATTAATGCGCATTCAATTAATGTGTTTTCGATTAGTGCGCTAAACTTTTAATATACCAAAATTCGGTTAGTGCATGCATCATACTGGATTAGTACGGTAAAACATTCTTTAGTTTAAACATAGTAATTGATATTACTTTTTATAGCTGCCGATGTATACATTAACCACACTAATCGAGGGATTCTTGTAATAAGATTTGCTTCCTTATTTTATTCATTAAACTGTGGTAGTGAAACTGTAATAGTCACAGATAGATGAACAGGCTCATTCCACTTGCTTAAACTAACAGCTCGTATCTGTTCTATACCAAATTCCATGAATTTGGCCTTTTCTAGAATTATTTAAAAAGAACAAAAATATTGCGATTTTAAAAATTTGAAGTCGAATGACGTTGACAAATTGGGGCATTTTTTTTTTTTTTTACTAATGTGAAAAAGCCCTAAAGTTGGTGATCAAATTATGCATGTAAATTGATGTTAAACTAGACCCTGACTTTTTCCGGTGCATTAACTAGTTTAAATTCAGATTATGACTTGGCTTTGCTGCCATATTTGAAATTAAAATTTTCTGCAACGGGTTTGAAAATAGAAACGGAAATCAGTGTTCATAATAAAAATGAAAACATTTAGAGCAGGGATTTAACGTACCTCTGAAAAATTACCTTTTCAAAATCGAATAAAACATTATGGATCACGAACATAAAAAACAAAATCAGATTTTCTATATTTTACGTGGAGTTTTCAATTTGCTATGTAAATTGTACCCAATTTCTTACGAAAAAAAAAACAAGGAAAAAGCTCATATTACATGATAAAATTATTCTTAAATTAATTTAATTTTATGTAAACATTATTTTAACACAAAACAGATGAATGATAAACATGAATATACTGTACGTTTTATTTTAATTTAGAATTATTTTAATTTTTTAAAGTTTCCTGTGTCGTGTTAAATAATGCCTTGATACAAAATTTCAAATTTCAAACAACCGCGAAATATGAATTAAAAACATAGTTCTTAGTTATGTTTCCTTTTTATTATAATTATTAAAATATTTTTATTTATATATCTAAAATATAATCAGCGAAACTCAATCGGATTACAAATATATGGAATACATAAACATCAAACAGAAGAAAGTGTACAACAATCTGAAGGCTTTAACGTTTCTAGTTTCTAATGTTCATATTGCAACTGATGCTTCCGGTTAGATGAGGTGATATCCTTTTAGGTGTCCTATTTTTATAATGAGACCTTCTGATATACTCTACAGGTTCCACCAAAATGGATGCTTTTATGCGAAATGAAAATAAAAATCGCTACCCGCTGTTTTAAAATATTTGCAAAAAATCAGACAATTAACTGATTCAAACGGAATTTTCAGGATTTATTCATACTGAATGACTTTTATAATGAATAGGTTATTTTATTAAAAATGTTTTGGAAATATTTTGGGCTGTCTGTCTCTTTCAATATCTCTTGTGCACTTTTTAATTTGGGTGGGTATTTGTTAAATCTGTTTACAGTTCTATAAAGAAAAGTACCTGAAGATGTTATTTCAGTAAAAGAAATTATGCAATATCAAGTTTGAACATACTGAAAATTTCTCCCGAATTTTACCAAAAATTAATTCAATAAAACTAAATAGTTTATGACAGTTGGTGTTTGCATAATTTAATAACATACATTATTTTCTTTTATATATTAAGAAAACAAATCTACGCTTAATATTTATTTGAAAAAATATTTGTAATTTTTCATCTTAAAATCCACACCATTGCTGTTCGTAAGAAGTGCCTTTTTTAATTAAGTAAAGGCATGTTTGAAGAGTCAAAATAAAGTTTAATGCCATTTTCGTGTGTGAACTTTTTAAAAGGAATTATTTTTCAGTTTAGCAACTGTTAGATTATTTTTGGTATGAATAGAAAGGAAACACTTGTTTGATTTCGTTTTCCCATCGGAAGAGTAATATGATATATGATATTTCAATATCTATTAAATTCAGGATAATTATTAAAAAAAACGATATTTTATAACGGTTTGAAGTAATTATATTGTTGATGTCTTTCTTACATTAATATAATTTCAATAAAAGGTAAGAATGAAGAGACAATTTCACGTGTGAAAC